TACGGTATTGTTCGAGCAGCTGCCGGCCACATCCATGGGGGCACCCAGAGAGGGGGCCGGGGAAGAGGTTTTGGTTAGCGGAGTAGGAGCAGCAGGTGACTGAGCGAGGCCGGGTTTCTTTGGAGGAATGGGTGGAGGGTTCCCTCTTTCTGCTCTAGGAATGGTTGGGGACTTAATTCCAGGAGACAGTGGGCTTAGCGGACTGGAACCCTTGCCAGGGCTTGGAGAGTGGCCAGATTCGTTTTTGGGGCTCACAGCATTTGCCAGATTTCGGTAGTCCGTGCCAAAAGGTGAGCTGTTAGGGGAGACAGGTTTGATAGGTCCCTGCTGGCTGGTGAATCTGGAAAGGACCTGAGTGACCGTATTGCGGGCCAGCTGCTTGGCGGCGGAGTTATCTGCTAGAGTAGGAGACAAATCCCGTGACGGTGGGCTCTGCAAACCACTCGACTGATGGTCCTGTTCCGCTTGAGACTGAAACTTGTGCCGAGCTGCATGGAAACGTTGATTGATCCCCACCTGGTAGGATGACTGGTAACCGGGGCTGCTCGCTGAAGCTCCCACTAAGCGCTTGGTCAGAACTGGTGAGGAGCAAGGAGAAGGTGTCAGCGAGGAGGCAGCCGTGCTGCTGGGAGACAGGGAGGCCCCACCAGAAGGGAGCTGGGACATCAGATGCACCGGTGACTCTGTTCTTACAGGAGAACTTCCATTCTCAACCGTGTTTTCTGAGGCTGCACCAGCAGATTTCTCCTTTTGAACTTGGGTCTCCGCCACATTTGTCTGCAGTAGCTCGCTACCCGTCTGCGCGTCTGTATCACAATGGCCGTTGGATTTTGCATAGGAGTGAGTAGGTGTCGTAGGGCTGGGAAGCACGGTGGGTACGGCTTTGCCGGTGCCGGCGGGATTCGCTCGGTCTGCCTGCAGACACTCTGTCTGGCAAGACGCAGACTTCACCGGGGGGCTGTCGGTTGCAACACCTCTGGACATCACCGAGGGGCTTGGCTGCGAAGGCTCGGTAGGACTGTGCTGCTGGCAAGAAGCCTCCAGCTCTTTCAGGGCTTTCTTCAGACATTCCACCTCCTCTTTGAGTGCTTTTGTACGGTTTTCTTCTCTGTTCAGCTTGGCTTTCAGCTGTTCTCTTTCAATGTCAAACTCCGAGAGCTGCTTTTCTACTTGTGCTTCCATCTGTAAACCCCGCTTCCTCTTGGACGCCAGCTCCTCTTCCAGTTTACTCACCTTACTCTTCTCTTTTTCCAATTTCAAGCTCAAGTCTGCTGTCTTCTGCCCCTCTTCAGCTGCTTTGGCAGTGGCTTTCTTGCACTCCACTACAAGCATGGACGACAGTTGCTTGTGGCGTGCCCTCTCCTCCTCCAACTGGCTCGACAGCTTCTTCTGTTCTTTTTCAAACTTTTTCACTTGGGATTTTTCAAACTCCAACTGGAAGAGAAGAACAAAAAGGACAGTGAGGGAACCACAGAACATCCTGGAAGTAAATGAAGTATAATGCCCTGAAAGGGAACGGGGTTACCACCTATCTTGGGGAAATTACACGGTAAAAGATCGGCAATGGCCAAGAAAGAGGTCCTTGCCCCAGGAGTCTGCCAGCCAGCCTTGTATGACGCAGGCTGCAGGTATTAAGAATTATTGCTTACTAGCAGTTTTATCATGTATGAAATTCAATTGACCTTCAGTGCGATACGCACCCAGCCTGCCACGTGCTGATGGAACAGGCGATCGCAACGCCACCTTCCGCCTCGGTTCCCGCTTCGTCGGTTTGCCTTTTGAAGGCATTTGGACTTTAAACCGCTGATGTGTTATGTATGTTTAATAAAGTCTACAGCGCTCGAGTAACAGAAAACAGTAACTTAAATATTTATTATGATCTCCGAATGACCCCCCCAGGAGATCTTTCATGACTGATTCTGAATTTTGAGTACTAGAGAGCCCCATCATTTGTAAGGGCAGCACTGTTCTCGAGAGCTTCTCAGGATTCAGGCTGAAGTAAGATTTCAAAGCATTCGATTGCCTATTAATGCTTTTAGCACTGCTCAGCTACCAAAACACCCTGAAGTTTTGGTATATCGAAGTGATAAAAGCTAGGGGCGCCTTATGGAGGAGGGAGGTCCCTACCACTCTTTCAAGGCGAAGGTGCCATTAGATGTCAGTACCGCATTCCCCGCCCGGGAGCCGGGGTTTCCGTGGGTTGGGCAATCACCGGCGTCCCGAGCGTACCTGCTGGGTGAGCCGCTCCCGCTCCTTCTCCAGCATGTAGGTGACATCATCCCCCTCCGCCGTGTCCTGGGCGTGCCGCTGCCGCTCCTCCTCCAGGTCCAGAATCACCTGCCAAACAAGCATCGGTCACTTCGATAGCTGGGCACACTCACGAGCTGGCACAACGCAGGGAGAGATCGGCGCCTTCGCACACGGTCTGAAGCCAAATGACACGGGAGAGCGGCCGCTGCAGCCTCAGACACCCGAATCCACCTCAAAATCACATAAAAGCAGCTTTTGGACAAGTTGCAGCACCACGTTATTATTTGGTGTAGGCGAGGCAGTTTGCGAAAGGAGTGAGGAAAACCTCCCCCGTATGTACCTTTGTTTCATTATTAAACAGCGAAACTGCCCGCTCTCCCTCCGGCCTGCAGGACAGCCTGGAGACGGCCACGTTACCCATCCTTGGCTGCATGGTGCCCTCATCAGAATTTCCTGGCAGGACCGTAAATACAAACCCCAGCAGGAGCAGCGGCGCTGCCCCAGAGACCGCGCACCCAGCAGACCCAGGGCACGAACAATTCCAAGGCGACGATCCTCGCTACGGTCTCAGCAGTCGCTCGCATACAGGCTTCTCCCCCGGTTTCTAACAGGGGATTTGAGGACTGCAGTGCAAAGTTTATTTTAAAGAACATTAATTTGTTCTTCCACTTAAGAACAAGATGAGCTCTTGAAATGAAACTGCTTGCCATAAGGACCCAGTTAAGGAGCTCCTTCAGCTTTAACGCTGAATTACATGAATAATTGAAATTCTATTAACTCAACAAAAAAGCCAGAATACAAACTTCCCAAGAGACCCTCCTGCATCTCACCACCAAAACTCTGGGCTCTCCCAGCTCATGCTTGCCATGAATTTAGCAGCTCCTCAAGCCTTCCCGAAATTGAAGCTTCCAAACAATGCTTAAATGCACAAGGAACCCTTTTACAGAGGAGAGGGGAAGGATAGAATGAGAAGGGGAAAAATATCCGACTACTGTAATAGCATGGTGTAGCCAGACACTTGGCTGAAAGCGAAACACGGCGCCTTGCCGTTACTTCCAGTGCCTTAGAGGACAAAGCAGAAGCTGAAGATGCCTCCAGCCGCCCACCCTAAGCCTGCGGTGCAGAAGCCAGGCTGGCTGGTTGCTCATGCCGTAGCAAGGCTTCCGCGGCAGAGATGCTCAGATTATTCGCAGGCTGAAAGGCACTTGCTCTATCTTAGCCCCATCGAAAGAGATTACGGGAAAACAAACTGTAGCCCACGTGCTGATGAGCAACGAAAGAGAGGGCTCAACTCTGAACCTCTTGATTAGAAACAGAATGCAACTCCTTGTTCTCGAGACCTTAGTACGTGATTTACTAAGTTTTAATCAAAGCAAGAGAGACGTACCTGAAAAAATACCGGATGGCATTGGCCCAGGCCCTACTCAAATGCACACTCAGACCTGACATCGTACAAGACCACTCCTCGACACCCGCGTAGTGGCACCACCTCACAGTCTGCCACTGACACAAGTGAAAGCAAAAATCCCGGCTAGTTTTTAAGACTGAAAAGAAGTATGGGAAGAGGTTAAGATCCAGTGCTGCAATGCAGGTGACTGCAGGGATGTTCCAGAGAGCTCCTCCCAGTTGCAGACTCCAGTGATGTACTCTTGGGCAATTATTCCCTGCCCTGACTACATAGCAGGGACGAATACTTTAATCATTTTGACTTGTTTAAATTTACCGCAGGACAAAACAAACATGTAAACATGGTTTGGTTTTTTAAAAGCTAACTCGTTATGTAAAGAGAGTAACATCGGGGCAAGACTCCAAGAAGCAGAATTCAGCGGACTCTTGCTTTCAGACTCGTGTGCAGCTTTATGCTCCTCTAGGAAACTATGGGATGCCAGAGGAGCAAACCTCCGCTGGAGTACAGCTTGAGATGTGGACCAAGCACTTCACTGGTGTCAATATATGTTAAAGCTATGTGGAAAGAATAATAGGTGCTTAATTAAAGAGGCCAAATAGCATGAAAAATAGTTGTGGTCACGCCATACCTTCTTAGGAAAGCAGAAGGAGGTGCACTCCCGTAAGGACCTGGTACCAGCTCTCCAACAATCACCAAGAACAGGTCACAAGCAGAATGGCGATACGTCTGCCGAGAGCCCAACCCTCCAAAAATCCCCTCTTACAGCTTGGTAAGCACTATACTTCCCAGCTGTGAGTGAGCTAGCTCCTTTTGTGTGTCCCCTGGCAAAAACATCTTGAATATATTTCAAATTTTGGAATTACAGTTAATAAGCTTACCAGCTACATTGTATTGACCGAGAAGTTTAAACAAAGGTGCAAAGCCCTTTCAGTTACCAAAACTCAAGGCATTTAAGTGTTTCTGCTGAAGTTACCCTATTATCAACACGCAGCAATTAACTTCTGCACAGCTTATTTGAAGCAAAACTTACCTTTCTGTGCCTGCTTTCCGCAGCAGCTAGCTGGGATAACATTCTTTCCTGCATATTCTTGCAGTGTTTCATCACCACTTTCAAAATAGATAAGGGATTGGAGCATACTGGTTGCTTTTCACCATGATTTCCTTCCTTCAGGGTCTCGAAGTCTCTCTGCAGAGCCATTAAGGGATCACTGATGTTGTACTTCCCATAGCGTTCTTCGATGAACGTGTCTCTGTGCTGGGCCTGCAATACAAAACCAAACAAAGTAGAAACAAAGGGAAGTCTTGCTTAAAACCACAGCATCTCCACCATGTATTGAGTCTACTAACACCCTTGTACCACAGCGACCTGCTGCCCGTGTCCATGAATTACATTCCACATCGGTGAAAGGAAAGAAGGGAAGTACCCATTCTTGCCCAACAAAAGATTTAATCATTTACTGTTGTTTCAGGGGAAGAGCAGTTGTGTGGCTGGCTCGATTATGTCACCATTGAAGAATTTAATGTTGAGCAATTGAAGAGTTTTACTCTCACAATAGCCTACAAATTGTTAATAAAATCCTTAATATTCTCATCCAGACTAAACAAAGTTCAGTTTCTCAAGAAGCAAGATAGGAGTGATTAGTTTTCTTCTGGTGACGTGTAAGAATTGAGGAAACGCACACGTAACAGGTTTTACATTTACAATGTTTAGAATCAGCCATTCCAGCTGGAAATCCATTTGTTAGGATACCAATGACCTTATCCTACTGGATGACTACTATAATGTTCTAAAAACCAAAGCACAATTCCAGACCATTTTACTATCTGTGTGTTTACCTCCATGCTTACCACCACGGTAAGAAGCCGTATGAAAACAGATATCCATGCAACAAAAGACCCAAGAGGGAAAATAGACCTCGCTTCAGAAGAGCCCTCAGAGCTGACCGATCCTGGCTCCAGGAAATCTGCTCATTGATTTCCACTGAAACTGTTACGGGCTAAATGCTGGGCACTCCTAAAAAACCTGTGACGGTGTTTGGTTCCTCTGCGGATCACCGACAGCACCATCCCACGCACGGCAGAGCTGATGCACCCTGCTAAGAAAGGACACCTTCCAAACCTGAGGTTTAGACGCGATTCTTCTCGGTTCGTTATAGTCATGGTAACCAGCCCTTGCGAGAGAATGAATTCCTTCACTTCTCTAGAGCATATAAATGGTTATGTACTGTTCTGCACAGTCACATTCCTAGTGAGGCCGGGGGGAATGACGTGGGCTTTCCGCTGCACCGGTCCCCTACGCCACCTTTCTCTGAAAGGCGAGAGCCCCAGCACCTTGAACCAAAGCATGCCATCACCTTTAAAGCAGTTTAATTCAAAGCACGCTTTAGCACGTCTAACTAGCACGGGTTACTGCCGTGACCGAGGAAAGCCATGGCACCGGCTGCGCTGCTCTTGGCGGAGCATGCGCGTGACGTGGTTTTGCTGCTCCAAACAGATGCTGCCCGCGCGCTCCCCGGCGTGCTTCGGCTGGCTGCGTACGCGCCGCGAGCGCCGACAGAACGTAAGCCCTCCGGAACGGCCCACGGTCGCGTCGCAGAGCTGGTGACGGGCTCTTGGCACAAGCTCCACAGAGCCCCAGCTCCGCCGATGCTGTGGAATGGCATTGGGCTGGCGCGGGGTGGAAAACAAGCTCGCTCTGCTCCGAACGCGGGGCGCGACTGCGGCAGCCTCGCTGCGCCCGGCTTCGGGGCCCTTCCAGCTGACGGGAACGGCGAGCTACCAGGGCCTGACCCGTTTCTTATGGGACTGCTTACGGACATCTTTTAGATGGCAAAGTCCCAGGCCGACCGATACGAAAAGACAAGGTCGAAGGCAGCGTTTCCCAGAACGGCCGTTTCGGGCGTCCCAGTAAAGCGCATCCAAGGCACGCGCTTCCCTCCGGCGTAGGAGAGCCATAGCGATGCCCTGGCCAGCGCTGGCGGGGACCTGCTGAAACAGAACAGCAAACTGCTGTGCCCGAGTGCCGGAGCTCGTGCTGACGGATCCAGCTTGGCCTCACGCACGCGGCTGACGAGCTTTGCTGGTCCTGCCTGCACCCTAAGATGCGACCACATGATCAGCACAAAAAAAAAAATAAATATATATATAAGAGAAGTCAATCTCTGCTCTCAAAGGGAGAAGTACATGCGTTACTTTGACAAGAGGCAGAGAAAAACCAAACCAGAATACTTTCCACATCTCCTCACTGCCCAAACCCAGTTAGGGGCATTCGTCCTCTGATACTGGTTCGGAGTTGCATTTTAACCCTTGCAGTAAACAGATCCAGAGGAACAGCTCGCACTCGCAAATACCCCTGCCTCTATCAGTAACATCCACCAGGAACAGCACACACCTCTGAGCAGAGCTTAAGGTATTGTTCTAACCTTACATAAAAAAAAAAAAAAAAAAAAAAAAGAGGAAGAAAAAAATCAGCCCTGGAAATGGGAGGGTGGCCCTGGATAATGAGCTGCCCCCAGCTTTAATGAATCACAGGAAAAACACAGGCTTTTTTTTTTTTTTTTTGAGGGGCAGGGAATCTTCAGTGATTCTGAAGGATTCAGAAAAATGACTCAAGCAAAGCTCCCTACAAGCGTGCAGGGAATTTCTAAGTGACTCAAGCATTAAAAAGTCTGCAAATACAAACGGGGATATTCATCCAGCTGGCCCAGCTGCTCTGACAGATGAGCTGCCCTTCCCCTAAAGCCAGCCCACCCCGGTGCCGGCCACGCCACCGCCACCCAGAACCCCGGCAGGAACCCTTCAGATGGGCACCAGTGCTTTAGCAGCGCAGGCAAACGGGGGGGCACTGGCAAAGTTGACTTCTGGGCAAGTTCTTCATAACCAAAGCTGAAGGAGCTGGGATTAAGGTCGCACCCACTGCCCAGGACCGCCGGTTGCTGGCGAGTCCGGCAGGCGCAACAGAAGCCGCGGTTTTGTCTCCGCTCCTCCCAGCGTCGGGCTCTGAACTCCGCGGGGTTTCGGCGTGGTTTGTTTCCTGCCTGGGAGAGAACAAGCAGTCCTTCCTCGCCACTTTGAGCAATGGAGCATTTTCCTGGACTAGGATGACAAACAGATGAGGCTATCACAACATTAATAGCTTTCTGAAGCCCAGCTATTTTTCTGTAGTAGCCGGCAGAGCATAAACATTTCATTAAAGTTGTCTAGACTAGGAGAAGTCTTAAACAGGTCATCCTACGCCGAGCAAATCTACTTTACAGGAACAAATCCAGTGCTTTGGCATTTGGGCCACTCGGAAAGGCAAATAGGGATTTTCAGGCTGCTGCCCGTGAGACCCCTGTGCTACGGGTCCCGCGGGGCGGCCACCTCTGCCGCCGAAATAACCAGGACAGCTCTTCTAAAATTAAGTCACAGCACAATAATCTACAGAGGTTATTTTATACAGGTATCGAACTGCCACATGCACGAGTGACTTCTCCCACGGCTTACGCTCCCCACCGAGGCAGCCCTTCAGCTCAGCAACTCCCACCCACGCCAGAGGACACGCACAAACATCTCCTGCAGTTTTGATTTTGCCCCGTCTGAACTGGGATTCAGTCCTAAATATGGGTCTTGTTCAACTTTCAGAACAGCAGTAACTTGATGGTGGAAGAGAAATCATCTATTAACGAGCTCAGAAAATCAACTCGGACCTCAGATCGCAGCATCGACCTATTCAAACACATAAATCCCCAGGAAATCAAGCTTTGCTAATACGGAAATAAGGCTACAAAAAGCATTGTTAACTGAGGAGTGGCAAATTTAATCTGGAAAACCAGAGAGCGCGTGCAGCCTTCCAACAGCAGCAACTGCACTTGGAAAGAAGGTGCAACGTGCTGCAACTCGGGAAGCCTCTGATCGAGTGTCTCCACCTGCATCGCCTCAAATACGCCGACGTACGGGTTTCCTATCAGAACATTTGAACCCCAAAAGCAACTAAATGGACTATTTGGTGATTGAGACGACTGCTAAATTGCCCTCCCCCAACAGGAAAAAGGATAACATTGAAGCTTGGGCTGCTCTTTAAAAAAGGAAGCAGCTACGCACGTTAACGACTCATAATAAAAATACAGCTCCCGCGGATGAGCAGAGAGGGCAGCGCTCCGAGCTGGCCGGCCTTTAGCTCCAGTTTGGGCAATTACCCCTGCCAGTCCGAATGAAAAGAAGGAATTCTGATTTTATAGAGCAGAAGCAATATCTGACACAAGGGATGTTTCCTGCGCCGGCAGGCAAAGCCAAGGCTCCCCTCGGTTAGGGAAAAGCTACTGTTTCCTCCTAGGATTTCTGGACTGCTTTGGGATGAATGCTTCCCATAATCTATTCGTGTAATTTTTTTTTTTTTTCATAAAAGATTTCCTTTTAGTGAAGCCTTGTTTATGAGACAGCATTTTCTCTCTGCCTTCAATAATCTTTACAACTTGTTTTACTGGAACATCAAACGGGGAATTTCCAAGACTTGTTTCAAGTATTTTTTTGGACACAAAGTAGAATACTGCTCTTGCCTGTAATTTTAGAGTTTGGGTTTTAACCCTCGGCACACAAACACGCTGTTAATTAACTGGAGCTGCCGTGCATGCAGTTCTCAGTAATAATGTGCACAGAAGTTCCTCCTTGCTGTTGCAGCGAATGGTATAAGCTTTAAATAGCTTCTTACGGCCTTGAACTTCCTTATTAGCGTCTCTCCCCAGACACAGATACTGGGAATTAAGACAAACCGAGGCCGCAGCGATTGCTGACAGAGAGAAGGGAAATGGGGGTGGGGACCACTCGCTCGGCATGAAAATAAACGTCAAGATGCTGAAGCAGGATTCAGAGCCTTCAGCTCCGTCTCCAAAGCAGTGCCTAGCAGAGATCCACGCAGCAGCAATCAGATTGCTCAAATACACTATCTGCCTTAATTGCCATCATTATACCTAGTGACCAAACCAGATAAACGAGCGCTACCCAGATTTGCCCACGTAAGACCTGTTATCAGCTTGGAAAAGGGGAAGACGTTTTCTTGGGAAATGTCAAGCGGCACCGAACTGCAACTCCATTCCCTGGGAACAGACCGTGCAAACCCCAGCAGGAGCTCCCAGCACCCTTGCGACGACGGCCCCGGGGCCGCACCGTGCTCGCCGCTCGCTGTTAAACAGGGAGCCCGCCGGCACCGAAATTCAGGGCGGGAGCCATTCCAGCGGGGAAGCCATTCCCACACCGCTGCTCGCTCAGGACCCATCTGGGCACGGAGAAGGTAGAGGGAATCGGCCTTTCAAAACCACTGGCAACCAGTGCTGCTGCAAGCAAGAAATAAACAAAAAATTCCCCAGGCTTGCAGGGAAAGCTGTGCGAAAAGCCCGCATTCCAGCGGGACAGTGCCCATGGGAACGCTGCTCTGTAAGCGATGCAAAAGCGCATTTTGCCCCATCTGTGAAAGATTTACCAGCATCTGCAGCAAGGTTTTATGTTACTGAACTTTCATTTAAACAAGAGGTAGACTCTCAGTTTTTGAGACTGCACTGTAAACTTAATTTCTCAATCCACTGACAAAGTGAACACTTAATTCTGCAACGCATTAATGCTGCTTTAGAGAGTGAATCACTGAATTCAGAAGCAAAGCGATGGGTACCAGCTCCCCATCATTAACACAAAATAGTTTCTATTCCAGTGTAAATCGCCTCAGGCCTTATTAACATAAAAGAATTAGCCAGAAAGCTGTTCCTGTTTTCTAGAAGTAAACAGAACTTCATTTCTGATGTATGGAAAACTCTCCTTTACAGGGCAGGGGGTGGGGAACGAAGCGCTCCGACAGCGACAGAGACCTCTTGAAACATGGAATTATTTCCAGGCACCGTGTGCTATTGCAGAAGACGAACCTGTGGTTCACACACGCAATCCTTGGCACGTCCCTTGCATTTGTCCATGCAAATCCTACCTGGACTAAGGACAGAGAATCCGGCCCTTAGTGTTATGCAACTCTCTGACAGCATCTGGTTTTCTGGATGATTTAAATCCGATTATAACTACAGGAAAAGGAGCACAATAAGAAGTGAGACTTAAGGCCTATTCCGAGGAGAACATTGAGATTTATGTAGTGGACAGGAAGCTACTTTCAGGCAAAAAAGAAAAAAGCTTTTTTTCAAAGAGGTTTTTAAAAACTGAAGCACTGGAAAGCAGTATTTTTGAATACTGTAGATTTGGTTGCTTAACCCTTTATACTAGTTTCTCCTGTTTGAATCAAAGTAATGCTGCAATCTGAAATGGGCATCGGAAGTCAAGGCCAGGTCCACTGCAAACGCACGTGGAGAGATGATGGTCCCAGTCACAAACACCCACCACTCACTTAAAAGCTAAGAAAGGCAAGAAAAAAAGTAAACCACAGAAAAAAACAAACCAGCAAAGGAAAGAACTCAGCAAGGGCAAGGCGTAATACGGTAGAGGCTCTGATTAGAGGTGACCTAACTACTGCTCTTTACGATCTGAACCTGAGCAGCAGGCAAATAAAGCTCAGTTAAACCCCGTCCCCCAGCAGGCAGGGCAGGGCTGCTGCCTCCAGGCAGGGAGCAGGGAGACCCAGGCAGCAGCGTGGGGGAGAGGGTGAAGATTTGGGGAGGGGAGGTGAAGAAAAGAGAGGAAAGCGAAGGAGCAGATTAAGCAAGCAGTCGCTGGAAAGCCAGGCTCAGCAGCTTGAGTTTGGAACGGGGCCAGTGCCAGCCAACAAGTGGCCTGGTATCGTGGGGGAGAAGGAAACTATTTTAGGCTTCATCATCCGCATGCATGGATTCTCTCTGCCAAATGCCAGATGCTAAATGCTTTTCTCCAAGCAGGCAGGAATATCAATTATTGCAGACTGTGCTATAATCAAACTACAAGTTCACCGACTAAGGCGGTCTCTTTCTCTGCAAGCGCTTGGTCTTTCCTCTAACACACCAAAGGATCTGCCTCAAACATCTAGGAAGTTCAGAAGCATTTAAATCCGAATTAGAAGTCAAATCAGCCCACGAGGGGAAATGCAATTTTTCTTACTATATGGGAAGTAGGCAGATAAACCTCTGATTTTTAACCACCGGCATCTATGCACGCAACGTAACTGCCCGAGGAAACCACCGCCGTTGTGGAAGGTCATGCAATCCTCCAGCAAAGGTCCAGCTCCCCTCCGCCTCTTCCCAACACACGCGTGTGCTGCACAGACACCCAGGGGTGCCCAGAGAGCTCCCACTGCTCCAACCCTCGGGAACGGGGGCAGCCGCCAGCCCCCAGGCAGACGATTCCTCCATGCATGGAACCACCAGCCCGGGATGGGCCGGCCCAATCTATCCGTCAAACTCAATGCTCTCGGAGCACCGATCTCTCGTGCAGCCTCAGCAGGCTTTTTCTTCAGGGCGGCATTTTCACGTGTAGCAAAACGTGAGTAAACAGACCGGCGAGGTGGGTTTCCCTTTAAAACATAATAAACCACAATAAAAGTATTTTGGCCAGAAAGCTGTTACCGCAGTTACTACCAGTAAACAAAAGGAAAAGCACAGTAAGGCCAGAATTTCTCTAGCTGTATATTCCAAATAAATGGACAATACAAAGCTGGGAGGCTTCGGGAACTCCGTCCAGCCAGCAGATCAAGGAGCAACGTGACTTTTTTTCCTTTCACGGATGGAAAGGGCCACGCAGCCTCCTGCCAGCAGGAAGCCGGACTCGAGCTGTGACGTCCCTGAACACAGCTCTTGGACCCGAGCGACGGCGCAGCTGCAGACCCCCGGCACGGGCCCGTTCCGGAGGGCTTTCATTTTCCCGAGGGGTCGCGCTCCGGGCTGCCGGCAGCCGATGGCCGGGCTGGCAAGAGCCAGCTCCGATTCGAAGCTTTTCCTGCCCTTGTCCTCCTGCCTTCAGCTCTCCTCGCGTCCTTAAGGTGAAATATTTCAGTGTCTCCCTTACAAAAGAGGGGAAAAAAGCACTAACCTTTGATTAGCTTGGTATTTTATACTGCGTAATTATCAAGCATAGGTTACAGTTTCATTTAATTTCTCCTCAGTCACGAGTACCTGACAGACCATGTCAAAGGCCATTCTAACTCCATTAATCGCCTCATGCAGGAGGCAACTGCAGGTTAAATTTCAACAGAAGAGGTAATTGCTTTCTGCTAGTGGAAGGTACCCGTTAGGAAGCCTTTGGAATGGGGCTGCTGCATTCCTTCCCCTCGGTCGCCCTGTGCTCCGTTACACGCGCTTCACACCGCGATGCTCGTTTTGGTAACACGTTATTGGAAGGCTGATCCCAGGACAGAGGAGGAATTTGCGTCTGTTCCAAGAGAGGAGCCAAGCCTTCCACCCCATCAATGGTTTTGAGATGGTAACAATATTCTTCCAAAATAGAAAGCCTATCTAAATGCAAAACCAATTAACATACGTAAGGGTCCCAACTGTTTCGGAGGAGGATCTCCCTCCTTTCCCCCAAAGGTGTCTGTATCTGGAACCCAGCTACAGCAGCTTTTGCTGGAAAACCAAGTCCCTGCAGCTCCCAGGCCTGCGAGCTGCCATCCCTCTTCCGAAACAGCTGAAGTTTAAACGTGACGAGCAGCGGCAGCTCAGCTTGAGAAAGCCTTCAACACTCAACCCCACCACAACTCCGTTCTTCAAAAATCGACCCTTTCCAGCATTGACACCGCTATTTTTTTTTTCCACCTTGCTGAAGCTGAGTGTCAGCTAAGCATCCTTCCAAAAGCAGCAGTATTACCCATGGGCCACACATTTTTCAAGTATTTTCTAGGCTCAATGTTAACTCACCAAGCCGGCCACGGAGTGCCGCAGCCCACGCTGCCCGAGGAAGGGAAGCAGAAGCCCAGAGCCAACACCACCACGGCCACGGCTTCCCTGCAGCATGAGCGACCCCTGCAAGGAGAGGTTCGGCTTGCTCCAGCACCACCCCCTGCCTTGTCCCACCCCGACCACGACAGCCACGGCGTCAGCCGCACCGACACGGGCTGAAACTAACTTTTTCGATGGGCTACTTTTAGCTGGTATCTGCTTCGCCGGGAGGCTACGCTAAGGCTTGTGCCAGTGAAGGGAAGAAGGAGCAGCTGAGCAGACAGGTCTGGGGCTGTGGGCAGCAGCGCCAGCTTAAAGTGCCTTAGCACAGGACAAAGCCACGGATGCTTTTGTCTTGGTGTGACGCTGTTCTCACTGAAAGACTGACCTGTGGATGGGCTACTTTTAGCTGGTATCTGCTTCGCCGGGAGGCTACGCTAAGGCTTGTGCCAGTGAAGGGAAGAAGGAGCAGCTGAGCAGACAGGTCTGGGGCTGTGGGCAGCAGCGCCAGCTTAAAGTGCCTTAGCACAGGACAAAGCCACGGATGCTTTTGTCTTGGTGTGACGCTGTTCTCACTGAAAGACTGACCTGTGATCCCTCCCGGCAAGAAGAGTTTCTGCCTTAGGAAGCCCTGAAGGAGAACAAAACCAACAAAGGAAGCCTGATGGACCTCTTACATTTCTCACCACAGCAGAAACACTTGGTTCTTTACCAGCAACACGTGCCCCACGCTGGATTTCAACACTGAGATGCTTCTTGCAGCCAGCTTCCAATGAAGAATTCCAAGATGCAGAATGACACACAGCATCCACTATCTAATACTGCTGATATTGAGATGGGATCCTGAACCAGTCATAAATCTTTGCCACTGAACTTCACCTTGGACGCAAGCGCTCTGCGGGAACTACAGTAGCACCAATGTCATTTTTGTCTCTTATCGTGGTACTCACAACATACCTTTAAGGCTTCTATGACAAGATCTCTTGCTTCTAATTCTCCCTCAAGAATGCTAAACAGCGTCAGTAGTTCTGGTTTGCTGAGTTTTTCCAGATTCATCCTGAAAAACTGAAAAATAGAACAGAGATTACTAGGTATTTCTTTGTACATTAAAATCAGCATTCCAAGCAACGACGTATGATCTCCATTTAACTTCAGCTTCCAGTTTTTTTGGACTGCAAATTTCCCGGGGTGGGGGGAGAAAGGGGATATGCAAGGCAAACATTTTAACTCCCCAGACCAGCCGTAGCAGATGCATTTGTCACCTTTTCCCAAGGGGTCAGGAGCATACGCACACCCAGGTGGCGCAGGCAGGACGTACGGGCTAACACGACAGTAGGATATGCACCGAGAAGTAGCCAGGAGAGTTACCAGGAGAGGGAAAACTATGGACATCTAAAAGCCATACTACTGCAAATTACACATCTGGATCACACAGCTGCAAACATCACCGAGACGAGACCGAAGAGCTGAGATGACCGCGGTGCAAACCGGGCCACCTACACAAACCTCGGGGTAACGCTGGCATTTCAGTGCTGCCATACATTTCCGAGGAGTGCCATTAGGCATTGCTGATGGCACGGGACCAAACCACTTTACAAAAATCAATGCCACAGAAAACACACATTTAATTACGATTCTTTCAAACTGTTTCAATATCACCACCCTTTATTAAATATCATTTTACTGCCCACGTAAGAACAAAGATCCATCCCCCGAACTGCGCGTACAAAAAGCTTTTCTTCCCCAGCACCTTAACGTTGCCGAGTAATAAGCTTTTTTATTACATTATTTTGTTAACAAATGGCAATCATTTCACAGACTAAACCCTTGTCTCCGACGCAAACGCACCCGCTGATGATAGTCCTGTGTGCTGCACAAGCAAACGTTCTCCTGAGTCCAAGTCACAGCCGCCTTTTGCCACTCTCGGTATCAACTCGAAGGCGCTACAGCAGGAAGCAGCTACTCAGGATCAACCTCCCCTTCACTGGCAAGTGAGAAGGGGTTAACTGAAACCTTTCCTAGAGAAGCCTATCCATCCAAAACCTTCAGCTGAACTCCCATTTTTCTGAAGTCGCTGCTACTTTACAACCGATTTGCATAACTGCGCCTTGGAGAATTGCACACGAACGCAAGTTCTGTCTTGTTTACGCCAGAGCAGTTTTCCAGCTGCTGGGAACAGAAAGTTCTGCTTCCCGAGCGGAGCAGGTAGCCTTCCTACAGATCCAAGATCTGCTTCGTGCCCCCCCAGCCAGCAGGCAGGTTCCTCGCCATGCAGTCACGGTCTTGCTTCACGCAGCATTTAACATGGAATTCCACACAGCAGCGATGTTTCTTAGGGACTTTTCTGGCCAACCCTGCCCATGGGCATGGGCTGCTCAAGGAACCATCAGTGGAAGTGACCACGACTGTCGGGGATACTGGGGATGTTCCAAAGCCAGTTTAACTGGACACCACGGATCCGTCAGCCTTGCACGTATGTTCCCTATTGCAGATCCATTCATAGAATCATAGAATAGAATCATAGAATCGCTTCGGTTGGAAAAGCCCTTTAAGATCATCGAGTCCAACCTTTAACCTAACCCTGCCACCTGACCACTAAACCCTGTCCCTAAGCACCTCATCTGCCCTTCTTTTAAATACCTCCAAGGATGGGGACTCGACCACCTCCCTGGGCAGCCCATTCCAGAGCCTGACAACCCTTTCAGTGAAGAAGTTTTTCCTAATATCCAACCTAAACCTGCCCTGGCGCAGCTTCAAACCATTCCCCCTCGTCCTATCATCTGTTACCAGGGAGAAGAGGCCGACCCCCCCCTCCCTACAGCCTCCTCTCAGGTAGCTGTAGAGGGCGATCAGGTCTCCCCTCAGCTTCCTCTGCTCCAGACTGAACAACCCCAACGTATATTCAAGAGGAAAATACAAGAGCGGAGTGTTTGGTAAACCTGTTCAGATCAGTTGTAATTTAAAAAAAAAAAAAAAAAAAAAAGCCTGGTCAAGACCGACACAAAACTGTAATTTAGGAGACTCTCTGTGTTGCCTCCAGTGACATTTCAGCCGGCCAGGGCAGCGATGGTCGCAGTGCAGCAAGAGCTACGCTTTCAGCTCAGCCGGCGACCTTTACGGGACGCAAACCTGGCCCTCTCCCCGGCTTCGGCTACGCCTGCGGCCGGTTCTGTCGCCACAGGGAGCCTGCCCAGCTGCGATGGCGTGGAAGGAGCGCGACTTACAACTTGTTGTTCTTGTACAAAAAGGGAGGGAGTGCAACAGCAGCAGCAATTTAATGTTAATACGTAAATAAGCAGCCGTACGGGGCGAGAGAAGAGGGGACCCGTTTTTAGCCTTGAACAGTTACCATGCTTATGCTGGTACCCAGGCCTGAGCTGCATCGCTTCCCTGGGCAGGTTTTACATCTGGAACATCTGCGCAGGAGATGCACGGCTTAATCTCAAAACCATCTCAGCCCTTGCTCAGACCAAATTCCCAGGTGCTAAGACTGAATCAGCACCGGATGGGAAACAGCAACAACTTCTTTTTGCCAGGTACTCATCAAGCTGCAGTAGTTTTGTGGCAGTGTAAGCCAGAACTAAAAAGGAAAAGTTTTCTTTGAGATCTTAGAACAAAGCCTATCATCCAGCTCCGTTACCCCAGGACAGTCAACTCTGGACATGGACTTCCCATGCGACGGTGTCCGTGCTTTTCCCTTGCAGGGAGGTGACCCGGGAAGGCGCAGCTGCACCGTTCCCTTAGCGCCCAGCTCAAAGCCAGGACAGCTACCTGAGCAGTAACCATCCCTATCCTATATCCTAAATGCTCCCGTTGTACCTTGTACTTCCCAGTGTTATAGAAATAAGCTGTGCTATTCTTACCACGCCTCTACGGCTATGGTCTTTAATCAGCTTAATAACAGAAACAAGCCCCGTCCTAAAATAAACGGGTAAAAATACTTACAGAAATAAAGCGCAGGAGCCAGACGCACAGCAATCATTTATACAACAACAGGTAACATTAAAAATACAAGGTGGTAGAGCCTCAGCTCCCCTGGGCGCAGCACGCGGCGACAGGAGCCCTTTAGCTGCTCCGCATCGCCGCCGAGGCGACAGACTGGGGGCAGATGCTACAAATAAAGGCACTGCCCTAAAAAACCCCACTAAATTGCACTTGTATCCTGCACTGGTTTACAGGGAACTGTTTAACGCGTTAGAGCACGCCTGGCAGATACCGGTAACGCCGAATCCGTAACAATCCCAAGCACTCCCGTTTCGGGCCACTCAGTACCGGGGAGCTGGAAAATGGAAAAAAGCTCTATCCATTTTACGTTGTTATTTTACAAGCACAAGGAACATCTCTGGATCAAAGAGCTAATAAGCACGTATCCAAGCTCCTCCTCCCCCATCCCAACCCGCATCCCTTCCCAGCCCTGCAGTGTCACCGGCTCCCGAGCTGACCTTTCCGAGACTGCTTTCGCTCGTCCCGACGGCCCTGTGCCGTCCTCGTCCCACTTCTCAAGAAAAGATCACGCCAGCCCCATTCAATTACCCAGTTCTCTCCCTGGCAAACAGATCTGTGCTCGTCACCCGGGGAACCCGACCCATTTTTTCAGCACCTTTAACCGAGAGAGGGGGTTTCACAGCATTAGAAACAACACCTAGAAACACCCAGGGCATATTCACCCCTTTGCAGTCAGGGAAATACCCCGACCAGTCCAACCACACAGATCACAAACCGCAGGGACCTCATTATTTAGGCTGATGGTATAAATATTTTCCCCGAGTCTGATACACAGCACCATTTTTGGACAATAAGCAAGAGGTCAGAGCATAAACAAAGATAGTTACTGCTGCCTAAAGGTAAACTTCCTTTTAGCTATGCTACGGACCGTCGCAGAGTCTCCTCGGCAGACCCACGCCCGCCCTGGGAAGAGATAAAACTTCTTTCCAAAGTTACTTCCCAGTATTTAACTGAAAATAAATATCAACACCAGTTTAAGCGTACACACAACCACGCAAGCGAACAAACCAGGGTAAGTTATCTTTGGCACGCACCACTTCAGGAACAAGAGATAAGCTTCTGGACCGCGGCCGCTCCTCCGTGCGCTGAATCACGCTACGATGACTGCGAAACCATGGGAGGTTACATCTCGCTTGGGCTCACAAACATAAAACCGAGTTAACCAACGTCGCCAAAGTGAAAAAACTTCACCCGCCGACTTCAGCGACGGCTTGAGTCACCGCGCGGCGGGCAGGAGCCAGCCAGCAGCAGCCGGAGCGCACGGCCCCTGGCTCGGGCTGGGGAGCGTGACAAGTGGAAGCTTCAGGATGCCCTGCAAGCGCCTGGCTCTAAACTCTTCTACTTTTTTTTTAAAAATACTGTGAAGAACACAGCTTGTCGTTCCTTTTTCCTCTGAAGGAGGGTATTTCCTTCCACAAGCCATGGGTACGGCTACGCCAATGCAACCATGCCTCTACGTCTATAACCCTGGATCAGCCTCAGGTTTTTTTTTTTTTTTTTGTCCTGCCCCTAAAGAGGAACTGATATTTTCCAGGAGCTTGCATGGGCAGAATCACGTTCATGCCAGAACCTAAACGAGCAGTTTGAAAACTCTTGATAGACAAGTTTTTAAAAACGCTGCTGCGTGTGTAGCGTGATGTTTGAGCTGTTAAAATAATTACACGATACGTTTGTACAATACAACAGGTAACACACACTTAGTACTCGTGCACCCACAATGCTACCGGGCATTGCATCAGAACCGTGGGGAATTCGGTTAAAACGAGCAGCGCCTAAGGCCCCCACCTCCGTATCCTAGGACTAAAAGGGGAAAGGACACCCACCCCCCAAAATCCTCCCCGCCCAGCTATTTCCCGAAGCGCTACTTTGCATGAAGCAAACCCAAAAAACTCTCGTTCAA